CGGGTGTCTTCGTGGCCCCGGAGCCACAGGCTGCACAGCAGGGCTGAGCTGGGCACAGTGGCAGAAGGAGCAAAACTTCTTTATAACTTACTTATTATGTATTTATATATATATATATATATTAATTAATCTCAATTATTCTTACTCGTTGCTGTGAGTTTTTGTTTGCTTGGTTTTGTTTGTTTGATCATTTGTTTTTATTTTCCTGGTGTCTTGTGCCTCTTCTTCCTTAGGTCAAACTTCTCCCGTCCTCGCCTGCCTTCCCACCAGCCAGGCTTGCCCTGATGTGTCTGTAACTCCAGCACCCACCCTTTCCTTCTTCCAGACGTGGCTTCTGTCACCCCGAACCAGAACTGCCACAGCTGGGGCCAAGCTCTCTCCTTCCCTTTGATATTTCAGCAGACTGTAAAGCTAATTTGATGATAATGTCAATGCAGAGGCCACTATGGAGGTGACATTACAATTGCAATGTCAAACTGAGGAGGGTGACAGTGTCTGAATGTCAATAGAATGGTTAGAAAAGTGCCAGTGGAAAGCTGCAAATATCATGTTATCACATCAAGATAATGTCAAAGCTACTCCAGTCCTGTTTCATGAAGAGCCCAATTGGATAAAGGTAAAAATAAAGGTGCAGAGGTGTCAGCTCAAATTAATGAGGGCAATCTGAAAAAGGAGATAAGGTGAGAGGGGAGTCTGGGGAAGAGAGAGAAATGAAGAATAAGTTAAAAAATATTGATCCAAAATAACTATAATTGAAACATGGCTTAAAGGGGTTACCATCACTCTGCTGGATGTGTGACTGGGCTGGCTTAGACACCCCAGGGAGCATGGGCACGTGTCTGAACCTGGTATGGGCATCTGATATCCTGGTCCTGCTGGGGAGGTGGGAGTCATGGGATGAACCAAAGACACGTGGTGCAAAACTGGAGTGGAAGGGGACTGGGCAGGGTGCTGGGGACATGGGGCAAGGCAGGGAGCAGAGACCATGGGCACATCTGTGGGAGGATGCTCACAGTGATATGTTGGGTTAGGGCTGGGAGAAATAGAGGCTTACACTTAAACCAGAACTTCTCATGGAAGTGGAGAATCCTGAAAGGAGCAGACTTTAAAGCAGAAAAGGAAGTGGACTCTTTTCTTTTCTTTTGAAGTGGACTCTTATTAGATCCCACCAGGCATCAGTCGATCTCAGGAACTGCATCCTGAGTTTGCTTCCTTGATGCTACAAACTCCACAGGTCCTCCTCAAGTTGAGTGTAAGAAAGTGAACATGTGTTTGCAAAAGTGGGCACAAAGCAAGGTTCTGGTTGCTGAGAAAGAAAGTGCTAATGATCATGCTTTAGACTAATTATAGCCTACAAGGGTTGCAAGGATGAGAACTCATTAATATTTTTTGTTGGTCTCTGTGTCTCTTCCAGTGTTGGCAAGAATCATGCTTTTTGTTCTCGTGTAGGTGCTCCAGTCTGGGTACATTCCTCAGGCTTTGGTTTTGGTTTGAGTTTCCTAAAAATACCCAGGGAACAACTGAAGGGAAATCAGAAGGGAAAAAATTCAGCCTTCCCTGCAGAGAGGAGCTGGGAGTGTGAACAAGACATGAAGGAAAGGCAGAGGCTTCCGTGGTGACTGAAAATTCCCATTACAGCAGGTAAGGTGAAACATTGTCCCCAGCACCAAGAATGTGACCTACAGCCACCAGTCCCTGGGGGAAGAAGCTGTTTGGTGGGGTTATTGCTCTGTGGGTTTGCTACAAGAACTGCTGCCACCTCCTTGCCAGGCACTGGGACCTGCTCCCCCCAGCACAGGCTGGGTGTGTGTCTGGGGACCACCAGCAGGTACTTGGTGGTCCTGGCTTGTGGCACCTGCACCTGCTGTGGTGAGAGCCAAAAGGTTCCTCTGCCCCTGGGCTGAGCCTCTGTTCCCAACCTGGGAATTTCCATCCCAGCACTGAGATAAAATTGCCCTGCCGGGGGGGCCGGTGGGCATCTGGCAAATGAAGAAGCAAAACTGATTTCTGGAGGAGCAAAGGCCTAAAATAGACCCCTAAAGTTACCTGCACATCCAGAAGACCACAGCACACAATCCTCTAGGAATGGCTCCTGCAGTCTCCCTGCGTCAGCTGGCAAGTATTCACATTTAAAAATCAATATCACATTAAATATAAACAGACTATTAATGAGGACCTGTTGGGAAGCAGAGAGGGTTGTAATTAGTTGTACTTTAACAGCACTGAGTGATACATTTTTATTTCCTTACCAGAGAAAATGCTAAAGGAGATGTCTCAAGACCAACTATTGAATTATTTTGTCCCCAGCAGAGGTATTCCTGTGGCTCTGCTCCCCAGCTCTTCCACTTGACTGTATTTCTTCCAGACCAGCCTCAGTGTTTACCACAGCCAAATTAACCCAATTCTGTGGTTCCCTTCTTGCAGAACAATGTTCTGCCAAAGACCCTTCCCAGGTCAGAACAACCCTGAGCAGAGGAGATTGTGCCTGGTCTGTTCTCAGCTTAAACGTGTTTTCAGCAAACAGGGCTCTCCAAATAGCAGCTCCTTGGCAATATTTGAGCTCCCAAGTCTGCATTGCCCTGGTGTCGTGAGACCAGGGTGGTCCTGGAAGGCTCTGCAGGCTCATACACTGGTGAGACCCTGGCCCAGGTTGCCCAGAGAAGCTGTGGCTGCCCCATACCTGGTTGGATGGGGCTTGGAGCAACCTGGTCTAGTGAGAGGTGTCCCTGCCTATGGCAAGGGGTTGGAACTAGATGGTCTTTAAGGTCCCTTCCAACCTAACCTGTTCTATGGATCTGTGATACAAAGGAGTGTCACCACTGACACCCTGCAGAAGCTCCCTAATTCTAGGGCTGCAATCCTGCTGCCACTGAAGACAAAGCAAAATAAGGGCTGTTCTAGTTGCTGTTCTATTTCTTTTTATGTGGGGTTTTTCTATTTATTTTTTTAACATTTGTTTACTTTTGACTAGGCTCCCATGGGTATGAAGGAGGAGACGTGAGCCCAGCACAGCCCAGCCTCTCCAGGTCAGGGAGCCAGGCCCTGCAGACAGGTGCAGGGCACTCCACACTCCCTTTTATTTTCAGCACCTCCCATGTTCATTAGTGTTCTCATTCCAAGGAAATACCAACTCCTGACCACTCGACTCTTCCTCCGCTTCCCGCAGCTTTAAGGACTCTGTCTCCATTTTCTCCTCAAGCAACATTCCTTTTGATAGATCCCTGCTCACCCCAGGGCAGCCGTGGCTCTTGGGGTCCCTATTTACACAAGGAGCTCTCAGCAATGTGGGCAGAGCCTTTATTCAAATGAGTTCAAGGGAACCAGCTCCAGGCTGGAGCTTTAAATGGCTTCACCACCAGGCAGTGGGGACATTCAAAAGGATTAATCCTCTGGCTCCCTCCAGACGTGCCAATCCATGACCCCTATGGGAGAGAAAGGCAGATGCAGAGACATGGGCAGCCTCCAGCTCTAAGGACAGTCTGGAGGCTTAGGAACATGGAAGGTGAAGTTAAGAGGTATTTGAGGAGAAATGCTGTCTCTGCTGCAGGGCTTGCTGGGCTGCCAGGGAGGGCTGAGGGGCTGCTGAGCTGCTGCCCCATGGTTGGCACCGCCTGGACCTCTGGGGTCTTCTGGGGGTGATCAGAGCAAGGTTTCCTGGAGCTTCTCCATGGGGGATTGAGCTTTCTTCTGGCCAAGTGGACAAGAGCAGGGAGAGGAGGATGTTTGGAAGTGAATTCACATGAAACCTTCAAAGGTGGAGGCAAAGCACAGGCTTGGGGCTAACACTTCAGAAGACACTGGCTTATTTTTGTTGGTGGTTTGCAGTGCCCCTGGCTATCATACCCAGCTCAAACCAGGCACCAAAACCAGAGTGTGTCTCACGTGGGCCAAGTTTAAGCTGGAAACTAGAAACTTAGTTCCCAACCCAAATGCCTGGAAGTATTGTGAAGGTAGCTAACCTTGGAGAATTCGTGGTCTGTGGGACCACAGGAATATATATTTTTCTCTGATCTACTGGCTTCCAGTAACACTCCCAGCTGCAATCAAAATAGGTAGAAACATGAAAAAATAAACACAGAACTCTCAGTTCAGAGAATCTTGAAGTTAAAAATCTATGTACCTTTCTCCACACAAAACTGAATACATTTAAAATGGTTTATTTAAAAAGTAAGGGTTAAGTACATTATACATGATTGTGATTATACCAGTAGAACTGAAGCACAGTGGAAATAACACTTTTGAACTGCAGACAGAGATACAGCCTCAAGGGACATGATATATTAGCCCTTGTGGATATGTGATCCATACAGAAAGAAAAGGAGATATAAAAATAATGTATAGTTAGATGTATGGGCATATGAAGTGATTTCTCCTTTTATCCTTATTGTGTATGAGAAACTAGGAGGAGAGAGCTGACAATATACCTGAAACTTTGTTTCTTGGAAAATCAAATCTGATCCAATAGTTTGTTGTGGTTTTTTTTTCCAGGTCTGCTGTTACAGAATGTTATAGGGTAACACCAAAAGACCAATTATTGTTAATGATATGATGATGATATCTGCAGGCCTTGCTGAGAAATGAGGACTAATTTGTGTTCAGTGCTGTCCAGGGAAACCAGAGAGATGTGGAAGAACAGATTATTTACTTTTTTAAAAAATTTTTTAAACAAGCACTGAGTGGTTTCAAAGTCTGAGTCCAAACTAATTCTATTCAGACAGATGAGCCGTGGAGCAAGACACTGTTCATGGGCAGGAAGGCTGCAAATCTTTCATTTTTGCCAGGATCAAAGTTTTCCACAGGAAAAGACTGATTTTTGGAGCATTTTTTAAATAGAAACTTTCAAATGAAATCCCATTTTTTTCTTTGATTTTCCTGAACAAAAGACTGCCCTGCAAGTTGACACAGACCATGAGTTTTAAATCACAGCCCCCCCATTCTCCCACAGGACGAAAGCTCTGGTCTCTGTTATCTTCCTGTACCTTTGTTCCCTGGCCAGACCCCATATCCCATGAGCATCCCTTTTCCAAAGGTGTCTCCTGGAGAAGGGGCAGATGCTCCAGCTTGGACAGGAGCAGGACATTGTGCTTGGAGAGCTGCTGAAACCAGCCCTGCACAGGGGGAGGAGGCCCTGGCACAAGGAACATCCCCAAACACTTGGCAAGCCTTTTTTTAAAAAAAATTTTCTTGCAGATGTGGAGTAAAAATCCTGCACGTGCCTCTGCAGGGATGAGCTGAGCTCCAGAAAAGCCTTGGATTTGGCTGGAATCAGATGGCTGGTTTTAAACACATTCACTGGAGAAGGACGATTAAAAGAACAAAACCAAGGACTGAGCAAACCTCACACTGTCAACTTCCAGTTCAATGTACGTGGGTTTAGAAAAACAGCCTATACCTAAACCTCCTGGTTTTAAAGGGAATGTTTTTATTCTCAATTACAGGAAACACAGATGAGGACTTATTTCTAACTATTAGTTTATTAACACAGTGGGAAACAAATAGTTCTGGGAAATTGCACTTGAAAAATACATCAACTATAATTAGATGTAAATTAATTAGCACTTAGTATGACACACTAATGAGACAGAAGTTGTTTTTGTTGGTTTTTTTTTTTTCATTGCAAACTTCTACTTCTATCATAGCTAATCAAAGTATTTTAATATTACGAAGTCTCAAAAAGTAGGAAATAATTTATTGTTTGAAAGCATAAAGATTCTTGTAAAAAAAACCTTTCATCAAGAACTCTAATAATTTTAGAACTCTTTTATGTTGTCCTAGCCGAAAAGTAGGTAAAAAAGTTTTCTTGTCTGCCTCTGTTTGAATTGTTTTAAAAAGCTTGTGTGATACCTTTCTCCGTAGTGTATTAATACAGAAAGTAGCACAGCGTTTTCTCCTTTTAAATCTTTCCCATCACTCCATTAGTTTTAGCTCTCAGAGTTCAGAAGGTTGAAAAAGGATCCCAGCAGAGTTTTAACCTGAATGGAAACTCTTAAGAAGCAGGGATGGAGGCTCCAAGCCACCTTGGCTCTGCCAGGCTGGGGCTGAGCAGAGCTGACCAGTGCCCAGGGGAAGACTTCTGCTTCGAATCAAGATTTGGGTCTTGGGTCTTGCAAGGAGAGAGGCCTGAGCAGGTTTTCTTGGCGGGGGGGAGAGAGGGGCTTTAACTTGCTCTGTGGGATGTTAAGGCAGCTTCTCCAGGGTTTTCCTGGAGGACTTGTTTCCTCTAGCTGAAGCCTTGTACCCAAGACACTGAGCCCCTGATGCTGTGGCCATCGCAGGAGAAATTAAGACTAAAGAAGTTGTAATGGTTTGGCTGAGATCTCCCATCATCAGTGAGGCAAGCTTTCCAAACCATGATTCTGTTTTTCTTGTCACCCTTTCTCTAGTCTTCTGGTAGCAAAGATTTTCTGGGCAAAAAAGATGGGTGTGTTCAAAGGAATCTACAGGGATTAGATGCTCCTCTCTCACTGCACCTAAGTAATCCAAGGGGAAGTGGGCACCTCATTCTTACATGGCTTGGTCAAGCAGTCACTAAATTAACATGAGTACTAGTAAATTTAATCACCTTTGAGCCAGGCCCTCGAGCTTTGAGATTCCAAGCCTAAGTGTAAAAAATAAAAGAGGGACTTTAAAAAGAAAAAAAATATAAAATAATCAGACCTTTTTAGAAACATACAGAAGCAAAGGGTACAAATCAGTTCCCCTCTCAGGTGGATGCATAGAGTTTGCTGTGGGCTCTCTGCACGGAAGTAGATTGATCATTGCAAAATAAATTAAATTAGGTTGAACCGTCATTTCCATCTAAAAGCAACTCTACCTTGCACCATGCGGCACTTATTCAGAATAAAAAGAGTTTAATAAATATCTCATAAACGGTGATTATTTTTGTTCTATTTTTAAAAAATACAAAGTTGCCATCCGTTGAGCCAACGCTCCGTTCCCATCGCTCCAGGCCTTGCTGGTCCAAACGCGTGAACTTCTCAGATTCTTGCACACATTGCTTAGATAGCTTAGTTTCCAGTAGCGTTAGTGTTGCACTTGTGAAGCAGTAAGGAAAACAGGAATCCAGTGGCAGGGAACTGGCCACCCCAGCTCAGCTCTGCTCCTGGCTCCCACCATCGGCAGTCTCCAGGGGCTCCTGACAGCCAGCACTCAGCACCTTGCCGGATCAGGCACTAGGGCTAGTCGAAATGAGAATTCAAGTTTTCGTAATGTTAGGCAAGAAATGATATTTGTAAATATGCTCAAGTCCCACCTACTTTCATCCTTCCCTTTCTAGGTGCTCCAAGAGGCACCCACCCTCTTCTCCTCACCTGCGTTGGCCGGGGGGGACACCAAACACCCAGAACTGGGAGATCCCCAACCACCCCGTCAGGAGCCTGTGATGCTCAGCGCGCCGATGCTCCCCGGTTCCAGCAGCACAGGGCAGTTCTACAGAGTGTTGCCTTCAAAAAGATTTTATATTTTTTTTTCCTTTTTTTTCCTTTTTGTTTGTTTGTTTGTTTTGTGTTGTTTTTTTTTTGAAAGAGGCAAAGCTTCTGCTGTGTCACAGGAAGGTGGCTCACTTGAGGAGTTCATAGCCATCCTTGAGCTTGCTTATAAATTACATTTGCAAGTTTCTATTAAGGGATCTCAATTCTAGGGGGGGAAAAAAAAAGCGCGGCACAACAATTTTTCTGTAATCCTTTGAAACACACTGGTGGCAAGTCCATTGCAGGTTCTCCAAGACTTTGTACACACTACAGAAGTGCAGGAACATGAACTGCCTTCATCTCGTGACACCAAGAACTCAAAGAAACAAACTCCAAACGGCTTCAGAAAAAGCTACGAGCGTGTGGTATCTTTATGCTGGTCCAGAGGATCTCCACTTGCTACCTCAACACATGCCACAGTTAAAGAGGTGAGAGGGTATTTTAACATCACTCCTTCTCTTCCATGACAGCTCCGTTCTGCTTCAATATTTCTTCAAAAAGCATGAGGAAGGAAGGTACTTCAAACAGGCGTTGTTCTCCTGTTGACCATGTTGACATGGAGTCCTTCCTTAAATTCCTTCTGAAGGAAGTTGTGAACCTGCAGAAAACTGGCTTCTTGGTCCGCGTTGTAGCTGGCAGCTGTTGTCACCTTCAAGGGCTCTCTGGAAAGAG